CAGGACAATGCTAGGCCGCACACGTCTTTGTCCACTCGGCAAAAATTGATGGATATTGGTTGGGAATTGATGTTACACCCTCACGACGATGACGCTGTAAAATCTCACGTAACTCAGTTTTTGGCCGAAAAGGATCAGACTTTCTACGAGCGTGGAATTTTCAAGTTGTCAAAGAGATGGCAAAAGGTCATCGAACAAAATGGGAAATACATTACAGATTAAACTTCGTTCCAAGTAAAAAGAAATTTTTGTTTCATTGAACAAATCGGCAATTACTTAGTTGCCATCCCAATATCTTAAACGAATCTGCCTTCGTTATGCACATGTACCTCCATATCATCGTGCTTGTACACAATACCTCTCACAGTCAAAAGTCACTGAAATTTCTATTCGTTGTTAGTGAACCCAAGATATAACACTCGAGAAGTACCTGAACGTTCAATTCAGAGGGCTGTTCGAACTTCAACAATTCTTCTATTTAGCGCTCCGCTGCACTGTTTCCGATTTACCAAATTCCACCTTTATCCGGGTTTGCATCGTGCTCAATGCACTACCTTCGTTTGTTGCAGACGTCCCATGGATTAACTCGACGACAGTGAACCCCACGGAACCAAGGACAGCCCACCCCAACTGGAAGCACATTCGGAGAACTCACCAGCGAGGAGCTTGCGTTACGATGTAATGAACAATGTAACACGTTGCCGTTGAATCAAACAGCAACAACAGCCGCGAGCAGCAACTACTCGGTTAGTACAGCAGGGGACGAAAGGAAACAACCGTTGGACGGTCTGCGCGACCGTTCGGTTTCTTAACCCGAGAAAGATAACCTACGTCGCAGAGGCGCCTGCGAAGACTGTTGATTTTTGTTAATTTTTCATAGAGGTCTAGTGATTTAAGTTTAAAATTACTTAAAATATAAAAAAATATAATATAAATGCATTTTATTTTTACAATAATGCCAAACCTTTAAAATGACTAGATTAACTTAAATAAATATCCATTGCTAGTATAAAATTGACGCCTTAGAAAAGCATGCGCCTCTGAAGCGTATGGTTATCTTTTACGTACGTTGTCATATGGTTATCTTTCTAGGGTTAAAGAAGCTCGAGGTGTCCCCGATCGATCGATTTTCTTTCGGAGGTTCGCCTGTCACGATCGCACCCAGCTTTCTTTTTCCATCGATCCGTCGTCGACTGCCCGCCGGGTACGAAGTCGCTAAATCGCTAAGCGATCACTCGACAGTCGGCACAGCCTACTTTCTATCGTCTTGGAACGGTTGTTGAAGCACACCGACAGTAAAATCCACAAGAAACGAGTTTTACTAGCGATTTTCACGGCGAAACGCGACGAAACGACCGTCATTACTCGCGGTCCTTTCCTTTTTCCTCAGCACCCTTTCGTTCCTGGACCGACCCGTCTACCGAACGAAAATCCGTGAATGCGCGTAAAAGTTGATCGACCGTGATACAATCGATCGTTGCTGGGCCAAGCGATTCATTCAATGCGTCGGGACGAGAGGGATATCCCAAGGCGATCTATGCCAATTCTTGCATCTTGTTGGCCGAAGGTTTTACGGTTCGCGGCGATTCTTGTAATTTGAGCATCTTCTACTTAAACTGGTCGCGCAATAAGATACAAACAAATTCGGTGGAAAAATTCGACTATCGCGTGTACAAGCAACAATTCAATTTTTAATTTTATTAATGCATAATCATAACAAGTTCAAGTAGATATTTAATTCTCAATCGAATGAATGATTAACATTTTATATCGTACAACAACAAGTCGGACTCGTGACAAAGATTTCATACATAATCCACTAAATACGAACGCTTTTGGAACGAATTCAGGGAAATTATTCAAGACGAGAAAGTCCTATTCAACGCAGTTGTGAGAGAAATCGTAGTGTAAAGGGTTAGCTATTACAATCCGTTTTATTGAGGAATAAATACACGAGTACCTACAGAATTATCAAATAGATACGTGACATTATTTTCCATGAACGAGCTTTCTCTGTAACGTATTTTTGTTTCATTGTTACAATTTCAATGTCAAGCGAACAATAATTGTGCTAATAATAATTTGCTACAAGTATGCATCAAATAGAGCAAATTTATTTCGTCTGTGAACTAACAAATAACAATTAACGATATAGGCTTTGAATCAGAAACTGATTATTATTTTTGTGTCATTAAGCATTGATCTTATAAAACTCTGTTTCTAACGATCCCCTTGGTTTGTATTTCCAGTTTTATTGTTGTATCCGAGAGCCGGATCAGTTCATAAGGAAAGGACTTCCACGTGCCAACGGGTTTATATCGCAACGGTTAGTTTCCATAAAATCTTATCGAGAGGCAAAGCTACGAGGCACAGTGGTGTCGACGGGGGACGCCGGGCCCAGTCGAGGGTTAATTAAACTTAGAAACGAGTGAAATATAGACGAGAAATATCGAGGCGAAAAGTGAAACGAGATGTACAGGGATCCGAACAATTCCTCGGGAAGCGGCACCTCCACAAAGGGCGACGAGGTCGAGATCGTTAGCAGATTTTTAGCGCCTTTATGCGCTAGAGATGAGACTGCCAGAAACATCGCCTTGGCGGCGGCCCGGAACACGGTCGAGGGATGGCTCGGTGGGGTTGGCAGTCCGAATCATTGGGATGACGCCGGCGAGATGGAGGACGCCGAGACTGTCGGGGGAAAGTTCAAGAGCCAGGATGGCAGGTGAGTGTCGCTATCTAGAAACGCTGCTGCTTTCGACAATATACATAGCTACCATCTACATAGATTGTTTCAAAAATCGAATACAGTAGTCCGCGAAGATATTAAGAAATTTGTTAGGGCATAATTTTGATTTCAAATCATAGTAATCTCTACGAGGGGAACAAGTAGGTCTATACATAACTAGGTAGTTCATAATAATAGGAGTTAAGCTGTATCAATCATGTATGAATATGAAGAAATATTATTTTACTTTACTAGTTTGTATGATGGAACGATCGAAATTCAATGACACATTAATAAAAATAATCCTCTTTTATTTATATATTATGCTTAACTGTTTAAATATATATGAATCATTAATGGTTACAGAAAGTGTGACTGTATAAAATTCTAATTTTTGCTGTTTAAATGTATAAGTATTGAACAAATTAACAGTGTACAAATACTTTTTAAATGTATACACGGTATAAGGATCCGTTGTTGCACAAGAGAGATATCGATAGTTTACCTAATGATTTGAGTGTCCCCAAACAACATTCTTTTTTATATCATGTGTATGCGGACGCTACATGTAAAAACAGGGTGATTAAATTCTATTCGATGTATTCCGCACCATATACAAAAAGACGTTAAACAACCAGAGAAAACCCGCAAGAAACACTCCGGACACAGCTGAATATATCCCATTCTGAATACATATATCCTTACAAATTTTCTCGCGTTATGTCCGGGTACTGAAAGAGCTAACCAAGGACTCCGTTACGTTTCATGCGAAGATACGACATGGGGATCGAGCGGTCGCCGACCAAGTCCGCGCCAAAGAACGTGCAGCCCCTTCATCCGCAGCAGTTGCTGCAGGACACGTTTAGGACGGAGGGTTTCTTCCCCCAGAGCGTCACTGAGAACCCAGCGTTCCTGGAGGACAGCAGCCTAGAGTGCTCGGAGACGTATCCGTTGGGCTCGTTCGACTGCGTTGACGGCCGGCTGGTCAACGAGACTAGCTACGGCACCCCGAGCGATAGGAGACGGTACGACGTGGACAGCTACAGGTCCGGGCACTCAACGTCGTCCGACGAAGGGAAAGGCTTCAAGATCGAGTCGCAGGACAGGTGCCAGAGGTTCAAGGACACGTCGGAGACGCGTTTCGGCTCGAGCAGCGAGAGCGAGAGAAAGTACATCGGGTCCTCTTCTAGCGAGAGGCTGAACGACGTCTGTCTGGAGGACAGATCCAGGACGAAGAACTACGTGAAAGTGAAAGGAGCGAAACAGAAGCAGCTGGAGGATGACGAGCTGGACTCTGACACTAGGATCTACGGGAAGAGCCCGAAGTTCGACGACAACTTTGGGGCGAACTTCGACCGTAGGAGCTTGAACTTCTCCCGACCGAAGGGTGACCTGTTGGCACGCGATCGCAGGTGCTACGACAGCGCGGACGACGTCTCTTTCGACGAGACCGAGATCACGATCAGACACCGCGATGGTGTGGTGTTCAATACGCTGGACGGGTTTGAGAACGAAAACGCGAACGACATTTATCACAGACAACCAGACGATAACCGCGCCGAGGACATGAAGTTGGAGAACTTCGAGATCTATCCGTGCGACGAGGAGTGTCTCGATGATCGTCAGCGTCGTCAGTGTACCGAGCAGCCCCAGGACTATTTGCGGAAGAACGACGAGAGGAAGTTCAGCGCTGGCCAGATCAAGAGACCGCTCTCGCAGGACGAGGATGTCTCTTCGAAAAGCGGCAGGATCCTCGAGAGCCCAGACGTCACCCCCGGAGACGTCGGCAGGATGCTCAATCTCGGGAACGCTCTGGATGGGCCCAGACAGGCTCAAGCCAACAAGTACTTGAGTCTGGTCACGCTGCATCTGCCGGTGATACTCAGGCTCAGCGTCAACTGCCCCTTTCAGAATGTAAGAATCAAGTGCGCCGAGATCCTGGAGATGGTCAAGGTTAGTACCTGCGTTCCTGCTTTTGTTAACACGTTTACACTAAACATACCACTGTCGATCACATGATTCGTTTCAGACTTCTTGTTTTATAATTATTGATATTGTAAAGCAGCTTTTATTGCACATTGTATTATACAGATTTTGAAACATTTATAAATGAATACGAGCTTATCATTATTAAAAGCCAACACATGCTAGTCACTTTTAGGTATCGATACGTTTACTGTTAAGTTAACCAGAAAGTTAAAATCTATCCTAGTGGACGATATGCTAACCCTTTTGCATCGTAAACATTCTACGATTAGCACTAAGAATGTTCGACAAAGACAGATATTATTAGTTTAATTTTTGACATTTGAACTACAACTACAGCTAACAGAAATGTGTCCTGAAACAAATTGTGTCTTTCAGACACTTTTCATTTATATTTATTATTCAATATACTATTTAAAAGCACAACTGTCATTCTATTATCTAATGTTTCTTCAGTATCCATAATATATGTAATATGAATCTTGTGCTGTTGCTTTAATTCATTTCGTATAGAGAGAAAAATAATGTCCAAAAACTTGGAACTTATAATATTAACTCTAGTAAGACTTAACTCTGACCGAACATTTTTAGTTGGCCTTCCAGTCGAGGAGTTAGTAAATTAACGATCATCGAGCTATGGCTAAGAGCTTTTGAAAGACTAATTGTAAGTCATTTAAGTGGGGAACTGGGACTGAGCAGTCCTTCGAACAGCAGTTTCGCCAAAATTAAATATATCAAAGCCATGAAAATGACTTTAAACGTTATTATGATTGCAATACTTTGGAAACTCTAGTTGAAAAGGAGTTAGTAGAAATTTTGAGTTAAAGAGGCTTTTATTCATTTTATGCAGATCTGTTCGAATATTTCGCAATATGCAACTATTTAAAAATAGCAAACGATCTGGTGATAGTTATTCTAGAGTTCCTCATAAATAAATGAACGGAGCGTCCGTGTAATTTTGTGCAACAGTTATTTTTACTTCCTCTGAGATCGGAAATAACATATTCACAACATACAATTCTTTCTGGTAGTAGTTTTCTCATATATCCTAATTTCGAAAGGACCAACATTTATATTAATGAAGTTGTTTTAACTGTCTATTTACGGAACGAATCTGTACCGTAGTCTAAAAATACCACAGCTTTATACCGGCAATGTGTTTAGAGCGGATTCAGCTTATTAGTCAAATGCTACGAATCAAACAGAAATACAGTGACTTGTACAGATATATGTATCAGTTAGACTTTCATAGGGAACGGCAAAAAATTGTAATGCTAATATATCTTTACAATATTAGCAACTTGTTATAACTATCATTGCATAATTTTTATTTCAAATTTTTTGTGAAATATGGCCTAATCTATTGGACGTGAAGCAATGATATACTTCTATAATCGATATAATTTATTCGTTAACTGGTTATTCTATGCAGTTCTAAATACTTTCACGTGTATTCTAAGTAACAATGCGTTTCTACAATCGATATAATTTATTCATTAACTGGTTATTGTATGCAGTTCTAAATACTTTCACGTGTATTACAAGCAACAATGCAGTTTGTGTCAGTGACTTGATAATTTGCAAAAAAGATTTCCATTGAAAGGTGTATGGAATTATATTTACCTATATAATCAATTTGATTTCAGAACTATTACAATACTTAATAATTTGTTTTACTGAAATAATAGAAACACATTTTTAAGGATTTCTTTTGCAATAATTACATAGTTTATTCACCGCGTATCGAATAAATATTATAATTTCATATACTTAATATAAAATCTAATGCAGTTAAGAGATGAAATTGTTTTGCTCTAATTGTACGGGTTGTGGCCACACGAATAGTATAACTGAACAGGTGATTCTAGGTGTAAAAGTGATTCAAACAAAAGCGATAACATTTTCTGTTTTCGAGAAAATCGAGATTGAAAATTCTTCAATTTGTCGTGCTTTAGAAATAGTATTTACAAGAAGATTTTATTTCATTTATCGCTCCCTTTGCGATCGTATCTTCCGTCCAGTCCCAACCTATATAAATAATTTTCTGTAATATATCACGTTCCTTTTTCACGTTGTGAAAACGAAGTGGGTCTAGAAGTAATAAACATTAATTTTAAGTTAAAAATGTAGAAAAAAAATGACCGCCCAACGTGGGGCTCGAACCCACGACCCTGAGATTAAGAGTCTCATGCTCTACCGACTGAGCTAGCCGGGCTGTTGGAAGTTTGTTTAATTTAATGTTACATCACAGCTTGGTGGTAAGAAAATTGCTCAAAAAGGGAAACGTTGGTCTTTTTTCAGGATAGAGGACTTCCAGTCCCAGTGCCGGCTTTCGATGGACCTAGCATCTTCGTTCCTACGTCTGAGGTAAGTACACTTTGCAATACGTCCTGTATCTATTACTATTTTTATTAAATGTTGCAATGTTTGTCTTCCTTTCATGGAATTCAATTACCTATAATTAAATTATCTACTTGTTGTACTGTCAGATGTATGAAATATCTCAGAGTTTGGAGTCACAGCGTAATCTCATGGAACGTTTTGGTAGTGACATAACGTTTTTCCGTGTAATTATGAACGTTCCTGTAATCATTGAAAAACGACAGGACCAGAATAATGAAATTATCGTAGACAATNGCAGTTTGTGTCAGTGACTTGATAATTTGCAAAAAAGATTTCCATTGAAAGGTGTATGGAATTATATTTACCTATATAATCAATTTGATTTCAGAACTATTACAATACTTAATAATTTGTTTTACTGAAATAATAGAAACACATTTTTAAGGATTTCTTTTGCAATAATTACATAGTTTATTCACCGCGTATCGAATAAATATTATAATTTCATATACTTAATATAAAATCTAATGCAGTTAAGAGATGAAATTGTTTTGCTCTAATTGTACGGGTTGTGGCCACACGAATAGTATAACTGAACAGGTGATTCTAGGTGTAAAAGTGATTCAAACAAAAGCGATAACATTTTCTGTTTTCGAGAAAATCGAGATTGAAAATTCTTCAATTTGTCGTGCTTTAGAAATAGTATTTACAAGAAGATTTTATTTCATTTATCGCTCCCTTTGCGATCGTATCTTCCGTCCAGTCCCAACCTATATAAATAATTTTCTGTAATATATCACGTTCCTTTTTCACGTTGTGAAAACGAAGTGGGTCTAGAAGTAATAAACATTAATTTTAAGTTAAAAATGTAGAAAAAAAATGACCGCCCAACGTGGGGCTCGAACCCACGACCCTGAGATTAAGAGTCTCATGCTCTACCGACTGAGCTAGCCGGGCTGTTGGAAGTTTGTTTAATTTAATGTTACATCACAGCTTGGTGGTAAGAAAATTGCTCAAAAAGGGAAACGTTGGTCTTTTTTCAGGATAGAGGACTTCCAGTCCCAGTGCCGGCTTTCGATGGACCTAGCATCTTCGTTCCTACGTCTGAGGTAAGTACACTTTGCAATACGTCCTGTATCTATTACTATTTTTATTAAATGTTGCAATGTTTGTCTTCCTTTCATGGAATTCAATTACCTATAATTAAATTATCTACTTGTTGTACTGTCAGATGTATGAAATATCTCAGAGTTTGGAGTCACAGCGTAATCTCATGGAACGTTTTGGTAGTGACATAACGTTTTTCCGTGTAATTATGAACGTTCCTGTAATCATTGAAAAACGACAGGACCAGAATAATGAAATTATCGTAGACAATGTATTATAATATGGGACACATTGAATTGGCGCTCGTAGCGTCGATAAGGTTCGCTCGGCGATTGATAGACGTCGGTAAAAGCGAGTCTTACGATTGGTTGGAAAGAGAACGATGGCATGGATTGGTTCACATTTACTTGTCCCCTGGTAGCCTTCAATTTAGTTTAATTAAGAACAATTACGAGCTTTTTGCGGCTGCTGTATCCTTGATAGGACAAGCGTATCCTAAGTCTGTGCAACTCGTCAGTTAAAAGAGACCTCCATTACCGACCGTTCTGTTATTTTCCAACATAGTGCACACAGTAATCATCACAGTTTAATCATAGATGGAATCTCCACGATGAGACACGAAACTTTGAACGATATATTTATTGAATTATAATTATCAAATTAAAACAGGTCTTTTTGAATTTCTAATTTGGTTTTCAGCAATTATACATATACATCGGCAATTGCATTTTGACGTTTTTAAGTACAGTTTCTACTTATAGCAGGGCCATCATCATTTTTGGCAACAGTTAACAAATTACCATAGCAATTACGAGATGATTCTAGCGATTTCACATAGATGGCGCTGAAAATATGCTGGTAACGCGCGAATATTCGCATTAAGTAAACTTGCGATAAATTGTAACATGAAATACGTATGTAGTTAATCCAACTGTATTTTCTTTGCACATAGTATAATAGATTCATTTATCTTGAACCCGCGAGTCTTTATCGAAACTGATCGCGCAAAAATTTTCTCTGATAAGCCGTTCTATGGATACTAGATATCACTGTTACAAATTTTTGTTAACGGAAACGGTTGTCTGTTATCGTAAATATACACTTGCGAATCGAGTATTACTCGAGTTTCGCTACTTCAGCGGAAATCTTGTTTCATACATCTGACAAAATATGTATGTGTGTTTTATATGCATATAAAATAAGGTAAAGCAGCCTCTGCCAGTACGTCTCTGCTGTGTTTCTTTAATTTCTATTTAAATCAATTTGGTGAACACAATAAGTGTATGTTCTGCGACGTTTCATGATTCGACTATTTTCCCGTGGATCTTTCGTTTCCGTTTCGTTTATGTTTTGTGAATATTCGTCGAGTAATGGTGACAAGGTAAGTATGAAATAAGGTACCTTATCGTTTTTCACGTGTAACGTGCACTCACACAACAGCTCTGTTCCAAAATTGTTCCCTCTAGGTCTTTATAATGTTTTATAAAATTTGCAGTCGTACTTAGCGTTAGACAGCGGTTAACGAATCTTTTTGCCGATGTTACAATGGCCATATTTACTTACATACACATAAACGTTCTATTAAATATTTATGTTTATAATTTCACTACGGATTCTTATGCAAGTTTCTATTTTTAGAGGTCTTTTTATAGAAGTTATAACACAGAATTTTATATCGTTGTTTAAGAGAAGCTTTACAGTCGAGATGAAGTAAAAGAAAAATTTTGTTTCTTCTTCAAGAGTAATAATACACAAAAAGGCGATGCAAAAATTGCGTAGTGACCCGATGTTAAAGTTACTTCGGTTTAGAAGGGACTGCACTTTCAGGAGAAGTATACAGAGAGAGCACTTTTCAGATTAGAAGGGACTGTATAATTTATATGTTTATTAAACAACTTACATGAAATCGCTTCCTTCGCTTCGTATTCGCAGATATTGATGAAAATGTGCTGCAGATTGTGAATTTCTTGTGCGCGTACCATCCCTGCGACATTTAATTCCAAGTCGTTGCTTTTTCGTTCGAGCAATCAACGCATACTTCGTCGCAATCGGATGGAACGAAATTACACAGTGAGAAAGCAATTACAGCTTCCCGCATTTTGGAAAAAGAACGATCACCATTTCATAATCGTGTGTCCATGCGCGCAAACATCATGCACGAGTGTGCTTGGCACGCTAGCGAACGAAACAGAAACATTTTCGACGAGACATTTTTCGTGATTTCAATGTGGACGCTTCGCACTCCTGCCAAACAATCTATAAAATCGATTCGCGAAACAAAAATGGTCTCCGGACAATGTAAACGCTTCCCCCGAACTGCTTAGAAGTGCCTTTGGCGCGGCGACGTACAAATTGCACTTGACAGAACCAGTTCTTCGGTCATGTGGAATATCAAAGAATAATCATCCACGTGTAATTCGCTGCTTAAATATTCAGCATCTAATTTCACGCGTCCGCGTGATTACGTCACACGATAGCTTGCTGCTTTAACTGGGCAATGCTTTGAAGAGAATGAGATTCGAATGTAATTCTTTGGAACAATTTTCGGTATACATAATTGCTTTAACGAAATCCATTTTTTGAAACAGCTACATATAAAAAAAAATGATTGCATAGATTACATATGAGTAATGCTTACAAATGTACAAAAATATGTAAAACTCTGTAATATAATTACGTAGAAATTTTCGTTTTATCGAACTTCGTCCAGATCGGTGATACATACCACTTTGTTTCAGACTTACTTCATCTTCGTGGAACAGGTATTTAATCCGTAGCATGTAAACGCCACTCAAACCAAAGAAACAGATGCTGAAACTCGGCCACCTGAAGGGTCGAAACACACTTATATGCCAGGGTCGTGCTTGCATCGTGCTAGGCTAACAGTGTTCACATTAGCCGCGCGAGCATCGTGCCACAGGCAGGACCGATGAAATACTAAATGAACCTCGGCACTCGAGTGTCTTAGACCGAGATTCGACGTTCGCCTTTGTACTTTTCCGAATGTAGAAAAGGTCTGCGAACGAAGGATAGATAATAACGCAATGTGTTACTTTTTTACTTTCTCTTAATGGGACCATTACCAACGCAATTGTGAGCTTTTTCTGAAAATATAAGACCAAACACGATGTAATTTTTGTAAGATTATATTAATTTTTATGAAAAATATAAATATACATTTTATATTAGTATTAATTTGAATATTTTAGGAAACCAGTGAAACGTCATCTGAGACGAAATTATTATTTTTGTAGTTTATACTCTCTCCGTATCGAAATGATCGTCTGATTTATAAATTTGCAATCAAATAACATACGCCGTTTAATCGTGTAAAATAAAAATTAAATAAATATTTATTATACCCGTACAGCTGTATCATACTTAGTAAATTATGACTTGAAATTAATGATAGGGCAAGTGTAAAACATTATTCTTTAAAATGGGACAGTCGTTTCGATACAAATTATTTATGCAAATGGGACAGTCACTTTGATACGGAGGGAATAATAAACAATTAATATTGATCACACTTGTGAGTACCAATTTAGTTGAGTTTCAATAACCTCATCAGCGATCCAATAATAAGTATATACGTTGTCTTAAACGATACAATTATGCTTTTTCAAAAATGTGTCAACATTACGAATTCAGACTACTTAGTAGAATGTAAAAGTATAGTTTGCATTTTACCAATGAAATCTTGTGTTTGCAGAGCAATGAATTTGTTACGTAAATTCGTTCGTTAATAAAATTATTGAAAGTAAGATGAACTGGTACACAGAAGTGTGATTACATCACATGAGTTTTTTTATTCTTTCTGTCATTTCAAGTAATAGCAAAATTTAACAAAAAAGCATTACAGTCATTTTCTAGTAGACTAGTCCCACTATCATTTAAAAAAAAGTCTAATCGTTTAGTCCAACTTCTAAAAAATATATTGCCTTTTAAAGAGTGTTCACTCAATTTTGTCCATTTTAGAGTCTTTGTGTAAATGAATGTTACATAAAAATTTATATTTTATTGTACCATTTAAAATGTATTTTTTAAAACGAATAACCGGCTATACATCATAAAGTAATAAACAATATAAAAATCTTGTTGCACATACATTCTTTGCATTGTGTGATAGTTGTCGACGACGCTAGAACGAAAGATTGCGCACTCTGACCACATCGTACCAGTTCCATAGTTCCGTCTCGCTTTGTTTTGATACAGCGGGAGAAGCAAGCCTGGACCGGGATTGCCTGCCAGTGTGAACACATTTGGACGGTGCCGGTGTCACGGGGACTTCTGATCGGAATCGCCAACGAGATAGGTGTTGCATGACTATTCACGTCCTTAGACTTAAAATAATGCACTACACTACTGGCTCTTGATGGGGTTTAGAAAGAAGCTGCACCTATATCGAGGTCGAAACGGTTATGAGCGTTTATTCTAGTCGTTCGGGGCCTCTTATAGTGTAGTTTTGGTGAATCCAAGGTGGGGCTTGGTTTCGATAGGGAAGAGTAGTTTTCCTTGTAAATAGGTAAC